GAGATGTAGTACAGTATAAAGTACAATATGTAGCTCTGAGATGTAGTGAACTAGAAGTAGAATGTAGCAGAAAATTTAAACACTTGAATAAAGTACCTCAAAATAGTACTTAAGTGCAGTACTTGAGTAAATGTACTTTATTACTTTCCATCACTGCTGCCGATTCAAGTAACGACATCATCTTCTCTCTGGCGCCACCTTCAGGAAAAACTATTCATAAAGATCAAAGAGAAAAGAAAAGTGTCTTTTCTTGTATTTAACTTTCATTTCATTTTTTGATTTGTTTGTTGGACCCGTTCACTTCCTGCCCCGCCCACCATACGTGGTATTTTTTTTAATAATTAGTACTACATCACCAGCTCCATGCATTTAGTCCGTATATTTCTATATATATATATAAATATAGTCTTTATTCTATATTACTCAGGCAGGTGTTTGTCAGCATCACAGTTAAGGTCCAATAGAAATGAGCCGAGGAGCTCAAGGGGTCTCTTTGAAATGCAAATGTCCCACCCACCCATCCAGCTTTTCAACACATCACATCATTTATTTTAGGCTTCTTATATAATGCTGGGAGCTGTAGTTTAAGGAGGATCAAACATGACTCATTACATTATCACGTGGTTTAAACTTTAAGAACTGTAGAGAGGCTAAGTCCCGCCCCTTCCGGTTGGACCGTTTATCGGAAATAATATGTAAGGTAGTAAATGGAAGAGACGAATACATTTTGATCCCGTTTGTATTGTGTCATGAATTACACAAATGATCTTTGTCAAATTAAAAGATACGTTTGCATGTCAACAAAGTAGCATTTTGTCAGAAAATTCTTGAAGTATTAAACTGTGAAAATACGTAATTATAAAGACGACACAAGCTATGATGTCTGTGTGTTTGGTACGAGGTCTCACTCCTTTCTCTCCAAACGTAGCTAGCAGCCAAGCTAACTGCTAGCTAGCCAAGCTAACGGCCACGTTGGTGTTGGTGACGTACATTGTGAGAGACGGAGGTTTAGTTCACTCAGCGGTTAATCACAAAAATAAATGATACTACGACAGACTGAGAATGTGTTGACTTGCAAAATTATCTTTTAATTGACAAACATCGTGTGTAAATAATGGCACAGACGGATTCAACACACTATGATTAAATAACGGGTTCACCCCGAATACATCAATGAATACAATGTGTTCAGGGACCTTTAGGTAACTATCACCATGTTTAAGCACTTAACCAAGTACAATAAAAATCATCATTTAAATGTTCCCTGAAAAATTAAAACCCATATAAGATATTAATTATTTGGTTTTCACAGTTTTAATGGGTTTAGCTCTTAAATGTGAAAGTAGTCCATTAATAACCCTTTAGTTACTATAATCCATTAATTTATGCTAATAAATTTGACTTCTTTAAAGTGTTACAATTCATGTAATTATTCATGTAACATTATGCACTTAAAATACATCAACTACATCGTTTTAATTGATACATTTGTGGATGTTTAAGATGAAAGAAATAAGATATTTTGTTTCATATCGAGGGAAGTGAATGGAAACCAAAGGCTAAACAGTTTGAGTGAATATAAATAATAATGTGGTAAATATAAATATAATTGTGCTGTATGTGTCGGTGCAGACGTGGCTCATTGTCGCTCTTATCTCCTGTGAATTTCCCGGCCTGGTTATTGACAAAAGGCAGAGACACACACACACACACACACACACACACACACACACACACACACACACTTCATTATGAGTTGTGACATCAGCGGCTCGGTGGGTTACTAAGGATACCTGGAGAGAGAACCCCGGACATCCAATTAAACACAAGAAGAAGAAACAGGCTCCAGATCAGCTCCCAGATAATTGTTCTTCAGACCTTCAGTCGGTCCACTGACACTCCGAGGAACAGCAACACACACACACACACACACACACACACACTCACACACACTCACGGTGAGTCCTTTACTGAGGATTATCTCAGCTTTCTTTAGCGTTATTCTTTAAAGCATTTCTTTATTTGGCAGCTTATTGAACAACTTAAAGCTCAATGTATGTGTAATGTATGTTACAGCTGTTTATTTAAACCAGACTGCAGGTTTGTTTTTGTACAGATTTAAGTTCACATGAATGTATAATTATTATAATACTATAGACAGTTTAACATTTGATCTTAATAACGTTGTTCTGATGTCTTCTGTCAGTTAAGTTTTTGATCAACTGACAATGATGTTTTTTGGAAATAGATAAACATTTTGAAGTAATTTATCAAAGTTAAAAATATCAAATATTTCCTCATATGTGAGGAGTTGCTGCTTTTATTCATATTTATTTCATGGGATCAGATTAAGTCAACTTTTCCTGGATGAGACTCAATGTGAAAGTTTTTTTAATTACTTAAGTGAAAGTACTAATACAACAATGTAAAAATACTCCATTACAAGTAGAAGTACTGTGAGCGTACTCTAAGTATCCAAAGTAAAGTACTCATTCTGCAGGACGTCTTCCTCTGTGAGTGATGTATAATAAAGTCAATTATTAATACTGAAGCATCAATGTTAGATCTTTTATCTACTTTACACACATCAGATAGTTTAGTGTAGTGGGTCCAAACATAGGGCTCGGGCCCCTCCAAAGGGTCACCAGATAAATCTGAGGGGTCGTGAGAAGAGAGAAGAAGAAACCAAGCTCTGATATATTACTGTTATTTTATTTTTCTAACTTTTCTCTAATGTTTTTATTTGTTCAAACAGTTATTTAAATTAAAATATTTAGCGGAGGAAACGTCACGTGTGAAACATCGTATGCTTTTTAATTTTAATTGTTTATCTAAAATATTACTATATGTGTGAAAAACATATAGTGCAGTAATATTTCCCGCTGAAATGACGTGAGTAGAAGTATAGAAATGTAATATATATATATATATATATATATATATATATATATATATATATATA